GGGGTTGGTTGGGCTTTTTTTTTTTTCTTTTCTTTCTTTTTGTTGCTGTTGTTGAACAAGCTGAAATCCTGGTAACAATGGGTCGTTGGAGCCCCTGCATTCCTGTGCACAGACACGTCTGCCTGCCCTCTGCATCTCGCCTCCTGGGTGGGTGTGTATGTTATGCTACAGCTACTGTTTATCAGAGCCCAGGAGATCCAGTTGGATCCATCGAAAAGCCTGATTTGATTGCACTTTGCATAACAAAATCAGTCACTTTCTCTCTTTTTTTTTTCCTTCTCCTCCCCACCTCCCTGTCTGCCACTTTTTTTTTTTTTTTCTTGGAAGGGAAAGTGACCCCCAAAGAGGGGGAAAAAAATAAAAAATCATGGATCCGCATTAGAAACAGCCCCCAAAATGGGGGAGAAAAAATGAAAAGGGAACTTACCTGACATGCTGTGTGGGACCACAAAGCACCTTCCCCAGCAGCTGATGTTGCAGCAGAAGAATCCCCAACCTCAGGTCCTAGATGCAGGGGAAGAAGGTGACAAGAGAAGAGTAATTTTAAAATAAGGGGGAAAAACCTACCCGATCGCATTGTGCAGATTCCAGGTGGAGACGACAATATTAATGTTTTATACCTACGGATATAAGTTTGAGATTTTCTTCTCTAATGCCAAGTATTTAAAACCTCTAGAAACCAATGATTTGACAATCAATGATTGCGCGATACTTTCAATTTGAATATTCAAAGGCTTAACAAAATGGGCTATCTTTGGGTGAAACCCTGCACATCCCCATCTAGCAGAGGGTCTTGGGGAATAAGATCCGGCAGCCCGGCCTTCCCCGGCCTCTGCTTTGGGGCCCTTTCGCCCATTTTATCCCCCTTTCCCCAAACAAAGCTGGTGCCCCTAAACCTGGTCAGTATTTTCATCTCAGACGCACAGGCTTGGCTCCAGCCCTCTCATATTTCACTTGCTAGCTGCAAAGGGGATTCTGCATGGGAGCAGGGCAGATTTGCACCCTTTTTTGCATTTTAAGGGTAAATTTGAGGCTTTTTGGAGCAAAATGGCACTTGGTGGGCGTGGCACAATAAGGGGCCTGCCTGGGGCATCTAGGCAGCTGTCCCAGGCCAAGTCAGGCTGTTATCCACTTTGTTCCCTTCCCTCCTTTCCCAGATTCTGCCCTTTAGGGGATTTTATTTGCGTTTTCCCCCATTCCAAGCATTAACCCTTCCTCCAGAAAGACGCCCCCATTTCAGGCTAACTCCCAGGATTTTGGCCTGTCTTGCTTTTGCAAGACACTGCGGTTCTGTGCACGGGGAGGATGACACTTTTGGAGCAGCTCAGCCATGCACCATGCCAGGGCTTTCGAGCGCACATCCCCAGTGCCTGGGCACCGTCGTTGGTGCTGTCCACCAAGAGAAGCTGGCAAAGGCAGCATGCTGGGCAGGCTGTTAATCATCTACCAGCAGTATAATTTGGCCATTGTTACAGCTGGGTTATTTTTCCTCCCTCCAGTTCAACAGCTCTGCTGCCTCGGTGTGTGAGAGCAGGGCAGAGGGAGGCTGGAGCAGCCCCTGTGTCGGCCCTCCAGCATTTTCAGGCTAAAGCCTGAGTCCTTTGCTAGGCCCCAATCCCAGCTCCGAGCA